GGGGTGGGCAGAGCCCCAGGAGCAGGGAGAGATGCGGAGGGCCAAGAGGAGATGCTAGGGTGGCCCGGGGGGGTGGGGTGGCCCGGTGGAAAGAGGGGGTGAGGGAATGAATTCAGGGAATAACCTGGGAGCCGGGATGTGGATCCCTTTCCAGTAGACACAGATAGCGGCTGTGTTTTGTATCTGGTGTCTGCGTGAGGCTGCGCGCGACCACCTCTGCGTGCGAGCCCGTGTGTGTTCCTGCAGGAGGCTCTTTAGACACTAGAAATAGAAAGACTGACCCTCTGTGTGGTTTTTACAATGCAGGGAACCAGCCAGGTGCTTGCCGAGAAGGACACGGGGCTTGTGTTGCACAGCCTGGGCCTCTCCCGCTGCAGTGGGTCTTGGAGCTCTGCTTGTCTGCCTCCGGGAACAGGGTGCTCACTACCTCCCAGGACCTCCTGGCCCATCTGCAGATGGCTCTGACTGTGGAACATGAAATTTGTCCTTAGTGGGAGGGGAAATCAGGCGCCCCCGAGGGTCTGAGTGACCTCTTCTGATGCCCACCTTTCCTCTCCCCATCCTTACACCACACCAACTCCTCCCAGTCCCTGCAATGGGGCGCCGGCCCCCAATGGGACAGGTCTTGACTCTCAATCGATCCTTCTGCCTCAGCCTCCCAAAGTGCTGGGATTACAGGCCTGGGCTACCGCACCCGGCATTCTCTTGCCAAGTACCCAGTGACCTCCTTGGTGCCAAATTCGTGTCTGATAAACCCTCATCCCACATTGCCAGTCGGGCCTTACCATCCCTGACCTCTCAGCAGCATGTGACTCTGATGAGCCCCTCTTCCTGAAACCCTCCCTTTTGTGGTGCTCCCCCCCCCCCCCCGGGCTGACCTGTGAGTGTTGTCTCTAGCCTTCTAGCCTTCTTCCAGGTCCTTCCCTTTTCCCACAGCCCCTCAACCTCAGGGTTCCCTGGGCGCCGTCCATTCTCTTCTCTTTTTTTTGTTTTTTTATTTTTATTTTTTGAGTTAGGGTCTCACTCTGTTGCCCAGGCTAGAGTACGGTGGTGCAATCTTGGCTCACTGCAGCCTCAACCTCCCAGGCTCAAGTGATCCTCCCACCTCAGCCTCCTGAGTAGCTGGGACTACAGGCACACGCCACCACACCTGGCTAATTTTATTTTTTGTAGAGACGGGGTCTCACTATGTTGTCCAGGCTGGTCTTGAACTCCTAGGGTCAAGTGATCATCCTGCCTCAGCCTCCCAAAGTGCTGAGATTACAGGCCTGGGCCACCACGCCTAGCATTCTCTTCCCTCTACCTGCACCTTTCTGCACCTCCGTGTCTGCAGTGCCCACATCTGTACCTGCGAGCCAGATCCTCCCCCTGTAAGATAGCCCCTACTATGTGCCTAAGCTCTGAGCCGGGCACCAAGAAGACAGAGACTGAAGATGCCACAAGAGCCATGAGTAGACCCATGACTATAGTGGGCATGGCTAGCGCTGACCTGGGGACCCCAAGGAGGTGGCTGTATCCTCCCCAAAGTGCTCCTTCCTGTGCTCTCCCTCAGAGATGGCATCATCTCCATCCACCCAGCCACTCAAAGTACAGAAAGCTGTCCTTGTCTCCCCATCATTATAATGCCACCACATTCTGGGCATCCACCGTGTTGCATTCACTATGCTGGTGGCTCCCAGAAACCTCCCAACCTCACAGTAGCCACTGCTAAGATCCCAAGTGTATAGACCAGGACACTGAAGCTTTGAATGGTCACATAACATATCCAAGTTCACAAGGTTAATAAGGGGCAGGACTGGGGTCTTGTTTGTATTTTATCTTTTTCTTTTCTTTTTTTCCAGAGGCAGGATCTCACTCTGTTTCCCAGGCTGGAGTGCAGTGGTGCAATCACACCTCACAGCAGCCTCGACCTCCTGGGCTCAAGCGATCCTCCCATCTCAGCCTCCTGAGTAGCTGGGACTACAGGTGTACACCACTGTGTCCAGCTAATTTTCTTTTCTTTTCTTTTCTTTTTTTTTTTTTTTTTTTTGAGACGGAGTCTGGCTCTGTTGCCCAGGCTGGAGTGCAGTGGCCGGATGTCAGCTCACTGCAAGCCCCGCCTCCCGGGTTCATGCCATTCTCCTGCCTCAGCCTCCCGAGTAGCTGGGAGTACAGGCGCCCGCCACCTCGCCTG